GAATCTGGATATAGTTTGTCATAGAAATATATAAATAGCTTAAAAATAATAATAAGTAAAGTCTTTAAAGAGAGAGTAAAAGTAATATAAGAGAAAAAAAGCCACTCAAGATGGGAAACACACAGGGAGTGTGGGTCCTGTATAGTGTTGTATTGATTTTGAATTTTTTGAATGCTGATACGCAAACAGCAGCAGCCAGGGAACATGGGATTGAAAGAGGGATTAAAACAATAAAACAGCCTAGATAGTTTAAGAATGCCTTAACTTTAAAATGGAAGTAAAAAATATATTTGTCAAATGGAAATCAAAAATGCTTTGGAGGAGAGGTTTTGCTTTTGTTCCCACAGGAGATGAGAAGCTGTGGATCCCTTCAGGAATGAGATGTGTCAGGTCTGATCAGGGGGGGCCTCCTGAAACTTGACAGGTGATATCTACTAGCAAAGGTTGCTGCTGGTCTTCCCAGGACTTGGCCATTATCTCAATTTTCTCAGGGACCCCAGAAGATGCTTTGCCCACAGACAACAGGAAGCAGTTTGGAGAACACAACACCCACATTCCCAAGAGGGATGCGGGAGGCTTTTGGTCATTTGGTGGGTCATTTGGTTTGTTATCATTTAGGGAAATACAGTATATTGATACAAATTTAAAGTTATTTTTGTTACACTGTATATATGTTTCTACTCTTGTTTAAGGTATTATAGCTATGTAGTTTATTTTGAAATGTAAGGCATAATTTCAGTTTGAAAGCTATTATTATGAACTATTTAGGATGACCAAGAAACATAGGTTAGTACTTAGTCATATAGCAATCAAATTTATAGATATGTTAGGCATGTTCCCAAATCATACAGACATATATTTTAGATAGATAAATAATATTCAAACACTTCAAAGACCTATAGAATATGGCATTTAAAATATTTTATTAACTTAGGGCTTTTCATGACAGCGAGACACATCTGCTCCTGACAGCACCAATTTACTTTATAAAAGGATGATAGGCATTGAAGAAACTCCATAGGAGTTTTCTTTCATTGTTACAAAATTAGCCATTTGTGCAAGAAACTGCTTTTGCTTTGGTTGCTTGACTGTGTGCTGTGCAGACTGAACATGCAGGACCCACAGGAAAGTGACCGCTGAACTTTGCCAAAACAAGGTGGCACAGTCCCTCAAATTTCCTGCTTCACTGAAAAGTCTGCCAGATACTCTAGTCCTGTAGACTGAAAATGGTTGTCCCAACATTGCAGAGGAACTTTGGGTGACTGTCCAGGCAGTCAAATGTCTCTGCTGTTTGGAAATGCTAATTCCTTCTGGGGTCTTTGATGGAGTTAAAGACCAAATAATTAGAGTTTCAGTTTTTCTTAGTTATGATAGAAAGTAAGTTAGAAAAATTTGAACTCACTAAGATAATGCAATATTTTCTCTGAATGTGCTAAATACAAATGGACTGAATATTGTAAATGTAATTCTTGCTTGAAAACTGGTTTTGTTGCATGTAGTTTTACTATGTTAAAGTTAAAACTTTTCATTTTTACTTAGACAAAAGGGGAAATGTTGTAGAATATTAATTAAAGATATGTTAAATTTGTTTATTCTGTGGAACACTTGTTTTAGTGATGCAAAGATGTGATGCATTATTTTATGTTGCATTTGTTTAACTGTGAAGTTGTGTTACTTTGCTTACTAAAACCTTGGTTGTTAAAACACCTCATTGGTCTAGTTAAGAGCTGAATGGCCAATAACCAGGCAGGAGAACGGATAGGAAGGGCTGACAGACAGAGAATAAACAGAAGGAGAAAAAGAGGGATTGGGAAGCAAGTGGCATAGGGGAGCAAGGAAAGAAGGGGCCAGCCACATAGCCACTCAGTCAGACATGGAATAAGAAGGAAAGAAAAGATACAGAAATAGGAAAATTATTTGGCCCAGAGGCAAAAGATAGATGGGATAATTTAAGAAAAGCTGGCTACAAATAAGCCAAGCTAAGGCCAGACATTTATAAGTAATAATAAGATTCTGTGTGATTTATGTGGGAGCTGTATGACAGGCCCCCAAAAGAATAAACAAAACAACCAACTACAGGGCAATTTAGCTGGCCTGGGTGTACCTTCAATCAGCCTATTTGGGAGGCTGAGCCAAGAAGACAGCACTCAAAACCAGACTGGGTGGCAGAGTGAGTTCAAAGTCAGCCTGGACTACATAATGGATTCAATTCCAGGCCAGGCAAATCTGATAGAACCCTATCTCAAAGCAAAAGGTAAAAAGAGGACTGGGGTGAACATCATTGAACAGATGTCCTTGTAATAGCCAGAACTTGGAAACAAGCTAGATGCCCCTCAACTGAAGAGTGGATAGAGAAAATGTGGTACATTTACACAATGGAGTACTACTCAGCAGAAAAAAAAAAAAGCAATGGAATCTGGAAATGAGCAGACAAAGGAAACTAGAAGAAACCATGCTGAGCGAGGTAACCCAGTCACAAAAAGACCAACATGGTATGTACTCACTCATATGTGGATTTTAGACATAGAGTAAAGGATTGCCAGCCTGCAGTCCACACTGCCAGAGAGGCTAGTAAACAAGGAGGACCCTACGAGAGACATACATGGTCCCCTGGAGAAGGGGAAAGGGACAATATCTCCTGAGAAAATTGGGAGCATGGGGTGGGGAGGGAACTAGAAGAATGAAAAGGGGAGAAGAGAGAGGTGAGGAGGACATGATGGGGCAGGAAGGTTGAGTTGGGGGAAGAACAGAAGAGAGCAAGATCAGAGATAGTATAATGAGGGAGACATTATAGGTTTAAAGAGAAATCAGGCACTAGGGAAATGTCTGGAGATCTACAAAGATGACACCAATTAACAATCTAAACAACAGAGGAGAGGCTACCTTAAATGCCCTCTCCTGATAATGAGATTGATGACTAATTCATATGCCATAGTATAGCCTTCATCCAGCAGCTGGTGGAAGTAGAAGCAGACACCCATAGCTAAACCTTGAACTGAAATCCAGTTGCAGAGAAGGAGGACTGATGAGCAAAGGGGTCCATACCAGGCTGGTGAAACCCACAGAAACAGCTGACCTGAACAAGGGAGATCTCTTGGTCCCCAGACTGATATCTGGGAAACCAGCATGGGACTGATCCAGACCCCCTGAATGTGGGTGTCAGTGAGGAGACCTTGGAAATCTATGGGGCCTCTTGAGTGGATCAGTACTTATCCCTAGCATAGGAATGGACTTTGGGAGCCCATCCTACAGGGAGGGATACTCCCTGAGCTTAGACACAAGGGGGTTGGCCTTGGCCCTATCCCAAAGAATATGACAGACTTTTAAGACACCCTAAGGAAGACCTCACTCTCCCTGGGGAGCAGAGAGGGTATAGGATAGGTAGGGTGTTAGTTGGGGGAGGGGATAGGGGAGAAGGGGAGAGAGAGGGACCTGGGATTGTCATGTAAAATAATTTTCTTTCTAATAAAAAAAAAAGAAAAAAGAAAGAGGACTGGGGGTATTCTTCAATGGTAGAACGTGCCTGGTTTGTGTGAAGACCCAGGTTACATCCACACTACAAAACAGTGCAAACTTCAGTCACCTCTAATGTGAATTACGATGGTGTAAATGCTGCTTTATATTAAAGAACTCAAACAAAGCTGGTGGAAGAAGGAATAGAAAAAAAATAGAAAAGGAGCTGCTGAATTTCTGAGGAGGTGACGGTCCCTGGACTTGTTGCTGTCACCAGGAGTGGTTCTTTTTGGCTGCTGGATCCTGGCCAGCCCAGGAGATAACATCCCTAGAGAC